TGAGCTAAATTCCCAGCCCCTGCTTTGAATTGTTTGTTCTAAGAGTTATAGTATACTTTATTTTTTTTTTTTTTTTTTGGTACTGGGGATCAAACTCGGGACCTTGAGCTTTCGAGGCAAGCACACCACTGAGCTAAATCCCTGGCCAATGGGTGATCTTTTTCACGATTTGCTGTAGAATGCAATATTTTATACATGTTTAATATCTACTGAAATGGGCATACTTTTCTGAGCCAGGTTTCGTTTGCTCTTGTGTATACAGTTTTTGATTTTTTTTTTTTTTGGTTCCAGGGATCGAACTCAGGTCATTGCCCTTGCGCAGCAGGCGGCAAAACCACTGAGCTAAATCCCCGGCCCCCAGTTTTTGATTTTGTAATTGAGTTTTACGTATTTTTTTTTTTTTTATGATGAACCTAGGGGATCATCCATGCTAGGTGAGTTCTCTTTAAGCTACATCCTAGCCTAGATTTATGGAACTTTTAACTTTGTTTCTGGGTTAGTGGTGAACAAGGGCCAGTATGGTTATATCCTGGGAGAAAATAATGAATTTTGTTCAGTTGATCCATGACATTTTGAAAATATGAAGTTGATTAATTATCTTTTTTATTAACTTAGAATTTCACCTAATATTAAGCTATTGTTAATTAATTAACTTAGAAATACCCTTGACTCTTTCAGCTGCAAAGCCCTGTGCTAGGTGAATGGGTATAAGAGGTAAGACACTGTAGAGCTTTATGGTGAGGAGAGATAGTGTATTTGTTACCTATTGCCGCCTAACAGAGTACCCTAAAATATAGAGGCTTAAACAGCACACACTTATTATCCCACATGTTCTGTGGGTCAGGAATTCAGGTATGACTTTGTTGGGTCCTCAGCATTAGGGTCTTTCTCACAAGGCTGCAGTCAAGATGGGGCCATTTCAAATGTCATAATGGGCAGGATTCCCTTCCTGGCTTATTCAGTTGTTGGCAGGATTCAATTCCTAGTGGGTTGTTGAATTGAGGGCCTTGGGCCTTGCAGGCTGTTGGCTGAAGGCTACACTCGGGCCTCCCCAGCATGGCAAGTAACTTCATCAAAACCAAGGGCCAGGGATTTAGCTCAGTGGCACCGGGCCTGCCTTGCAAGCACAAGGTCCTGAGTTCAATCTCTGGTACCAAAAAAAAAAAAAGTAGTGTGCTACAAATACAGAATGGTTTATAACTAGCTAATTATGTAGGAGCACTCATTCTGAGCATTATTGGTATTAAAATGTGATTTTAATATGAACGTAGCTTCTGTGATTATATTCAATGTTTTTTGTGGCCTAACGTTTTTCTAATCTTATAATTAAAAACTGATTAAATTACTGGAATTGGGGCAGATGCATTATCAGTTTAATAAGTCTGTCAATGTTCGTTGTGTTCAGGATGTGGTGATTGACATCAAGGCAGACAAATGCTTGTCTTCAGTGTAAGATAATAAGTTTTACAAGGCTAATGTGAAATACCAGACTTAAGGTACTGTTTATGCAAGTGTGCTTTTTAGCAATTTCGGAAGGAAGGGGCCTCTTTAGGAAGGCTCCTTAGAAGGAGGACCTGACTCGGGCCTTTAAGAATGGTCATGTTAGTGGGCCAGGGATTTAGCTCAGTGGGTCAGCCGCCTGCCTCGTAAGTGCAAGGACCCGAAGTCAATCCCCGGTACCAAAAAAAAAAAAAAAAAGAAGAATGGTCATGTTAGCAAGGGAGAAAAGGATGGTTTTGCTCAGCAAAGTAGCTTTGCAGAAAAGCTGAGTACTGCTTGATGGAGTGAGTGGATCTTAATTTCAATAGCAGATTAATGAATATTTGTCTCTTGGCATAAAATTTTTAGCCTTTAAATACCAATGATCTGCTTCTCTTCTTTCTCCATCTTACCAGGGAAGCTACTAAGTACCTCACAGAAGCTCTTCAGTCTGTCAGTGAATTAGAGCTTGAAGATACCTTGGAAAAGATCATCGATGCAGTGGAAAAGCAGCCCTGTAAGTAGGGTTTAACTCTTAAATCATTAACCTTGCCCTGTATCTTGGATAAATTTACATATTTAAAGAGAAGTTGAGGATTCAGTATTAAGGTGTGCCAATGTTGCATGGTAGTGTTTCTTCCCAAAAGGTTTATTCAGTTGTAACAAAGGATATTCCCCAGAAAACCTTCTACATTTTCCTACCCCTGTAGAGCCACACAGCCATCTGTTGTTTTTTTCTTTCTTTCTTAAATTCTTTTATTGGTACATTTTAGGTATATAATACATTTACATTTCTCTTCGGGATCTTGTACCTTTTTTTTTTT